GGAAAGAGGACAAAGTGCACGGGGGTGGGGGAGGCTTCAGATTTTTCTTGATAAGGAAAGGACAGGAGAAGGGACAGGAGCAGCAAAGGCTCTGCAGCTCCCCACCCGCATATGGTAGCATGCCCTTCTCCAGCTCCCTTAAGATCCCAGGAGAGACTTGAGTGGACTGAGAATATGGCAAGACCTCATGCAGGGGCCTGGGGATGGTTTACAACCCTTCTGAGCCTGTGGATGGTCCTTGCTTCCACTCCCCATCCTCCTTGGGGGTCTCAGTAGAGATGAGGCATAGGATCTCAAATTCAGGGTTCAGAATCTCACCTCCCCGAGGCTTCCCCACGTCCTGTCTTAGGGACACTGGTACCGGAGTCATGTCCCGGTACAGGAAGATTTTGGTGGGGCGTAGAAGAGAGAGGAGTCTGGGCCCTGGGCCGCATTACCTGAAGGCATTGCGAAGTTTTTCTCCCAGTGGGTACGTCCGATTCTTCTTCTCAAACTCCTCGTCGAAGAGGGTGAGGGAGTAGGTAGCTCTGTCTACCACGTAGCGGGGCCTGGGCTGGCTCATGTCTGGGGCATTTACGAGCTTTGGGAGAAGCAGAGTAGGGAAGAACGAGGGGCATCCCTTCCCAGCGCCGGCCTGGGCCTTCTCTCTCTAATCCTAGCTCAGCAGACTTTTATGCTGTCTTCCCCGCCCCCAGCCAGCAAGGTGCCTCCCTTCCCTCTTTCAAGTCTTTCCACCAGACTCACTTCTTTTGGTGGCCTTCCTTCCCAGGCACGGATGATGCATACACTCACCCTGGCTGTTTTGCTTGGCACCCAGCACGTGGCTGGCACTCCACACCTGTTACATCACCGTCACCCCCGCTGAACACCAGGCAAAAAGGAGGTGGGAGTGCAAGGGCAGGAGTCACAGCTGGGATTCAGCAGGTTGATCCTCTCCCCCCTCCCCCTTACCACCCTCCCCACATCGTCCCCTGGTGTCCCCACAAGCCCCTCTGCCTCCCTAGACCTCAGTTTCCCCGGCAGAATGTCTCACACCATTCAGCCGGTCAGCTTGGAAGAAAGAGAGAAAACAGCCTGCCTGGGGGCGGGGGATGGCTGAGGTGACCTCAAGGGACCCTTCTTAAAGGAACCGCCTAGGACTTCACCAACAGATTTCCCCAGGGGGACAGTGGTGTGTTTGGGGAAATCGAGATGGTGTGCGGTGGCTGGCTCTCCCACGGCTTCCCGTGTCTAACCTTTCCTCCACCCTTGTGTACTGGTGCCTCTCTTCCTAGCTTTTTGCGCAACCTTGCTGACGTTCCAGGAGCTGAGCAGGGCAGGACTAAGTGCCAGGGCCCCTGAGGCCCAGAGGAGCTCCCTGCAGGGATCTTCCCCTCCTCCATCCTCAAACTGCTGGTCCGCTCTCCTGTCCCCTGCCCCCCAGAGCCGGGAGAAGCCCACCTGGAGGACCTCAGAGGAAGAAGGAGGGTGAGGAAAGGGTTGGGACAGGCTTAGCGGGAGATCACGTCTGCGAGGTGCGGAGTGTGGGATGGTCGTGGCCAGTTTGGCAAAAGATTCAAGATGGAGTGAAGAGTGAGAAACCACATGGGGGGCTCAGGATGCTCCCCCACTGGCTTCCTAGGGGACAACCTGGGTGAATGAGAGGTTATCAGAGGGGAGCAGGCTGGTCGATGCCTTTTGTAGAAGAGAATACCAGGGAAGAGGTGGAAAGTGCATTAACTAAGTGCCCAGAAATCTGGGTTCTAGTGCTGGCTTTACTGGTGAGGTGGAAGGGGCAGCATTGCCTTTCTGAACCTCAGATTCCTCATCAGTAAAACTGGGGTACCATATTCACCTCACAGGGTTTTTTTTTTTTTTTTTTTTTTTTTTTTTTTTTTCTTGCGTTATGCGGGCCTCTCACTGTTGTGGCCTCTCCCATTTGCGGAGCACAGGCTCCGGACGCGCAGGCTCAGTGGCCATGGCTCACGGGCCCAGCCGCTCCGCGGCATGTGGGATCTTCCCGAAACGGGGCACGAACCCGCGTCTCCTGCATCGGCAGGCGGACTCTCAAGCACTGCGCCACCAGGGAAGCCCCCTCACAGGGTTTTTTGAGGATCAAATGAATAAGTGGACAAGAAAGGCTTGTGTAAAATGTACAGAGTGATGCAAACATGAGTTGCTGATTGTGGATAAGACTGTGCCCAGGTGGATGAAGGTCAGGCTGGTGCATTCCACTCGGCGGGTCGCAGGACCCTGAGGCCCACCAAGACCTGTAAGCTTGGGCTGGGTGTCTGGCAGAACCCCACGGATGCTACCCAAATGGCAGGGAGGTGGGGGAATGAGGCTGCCCACAGTGTCTGTGCCCAGGCCCTTGCCTGGGCATTTAATATGCACCCAACAAATGCTTGTTGAGTGAATCAATAAATGCTGTTTCAGAGAAGACATGGGCAGAAAAGAATAAGAGCAATGGCACGTGAGACACTTCAGTGGGAGAAGTGAGAGACTGAGTGGCATAAGGTAAACAGCACAAGCTTTGGAGCCAGAGTGACCTGGGTTCAAAGATTCAGTTTCTTCATCTGTAAATGGGGATAATAACAGTCCCAGGTGTTTGCCATGAGGATTCAATGAGATCATGTCTGTGAAGTGGCTGGTCTCCCAAAGGCACCCAGTAAATCGCAACGGTGATGATTACTATGATTAAGATAGGAGAGTGCTTCCTTCCTCTTGGGAGAGACTATTCAGAGGTTTCCAGCCCTTTCCCCCCACCCCCCACCCAGGTTAGGCAAGATGGCCTCGCACCTCCTTCCCCTCCCCACCCTCTCATCGGATCAGGAAGGGTCCGACTTTCTAGGTGCTTTGCCTGGGGGCCCTATGGGAGCAATGAGTGGGGATCGTGACCCTCTGGAGGAATCCAGAGCTCCAGCCCGGCTTCAGAGGAAGACTCATCGTTTGGGGAGTCAATGCCTGGCCACCGAACAGACCACTTTTAAAGGAATAGCCAGAATTGTCAAGGGGGCTGAAGCAGAAGAGGGAAGAGGAGGCAGTGGGAGACCTTGTTTCCTTGCTGAGCAGCAGGCAGTGCTACCCGAAGCCCCTTCCCAGGCTACTTTCAAAGGCTCCGAGTTCTAGTGGTGTGTTCATGGGGAGAGGGGTTGGCAGTGTCCGATCGTACTAAACCTCCTAACCCGGCTCCCCCCACCCCATTCCCTCATTTCCTCTGTGGCACCTTTCCCCACCCCGCACACTTCTCCCTGCCTTTTCTCTCCCACCAGCCTCCACATTCAGTAGTTCATCAAATCCCATTGCTATTTCCTTCCGGTGTCTCTCTCAGGTCTTGTCTCACACTTGGACTACTGCATTAGCCTTCTGACCGATTCCCCAGCCCACATCCCCTGCTCAGAAAACCTCAGCTTCCTCATTTCCGGGAGGATCAAGCCCAGACTCCTTATTTTGGCATGTTCGTCCTTACAGCACCTGGCCTTGTTTTGGTGGACTCGGTAGATTTGTAGGTTGGGTCTGCCCACTCCATCCAAGCTGTCCACTCAGCATCCCCTGAGCAAGCTTCCTCGGTTTTCCCTCGGGGGCTCTGTCCACTCGTTCCTCCTTACCTGAGATGCCCTGACTCATTCTGCCTTTTTAGCCCTTCCCCTCCTTAAGACCTGCTAGGTTCCTCCTCCTCCCCTCTCCTCCCACTCTTCCTTCTCCCTGCCCACCTGTTCCTTGTCTATGAAGACTTTCCTGACCACCCTGGCCTGGGATCTCTTTCTACTTGAATCTCCTTTATTGGGACCTGTCCAGCCTGTGCACCACTGTTGGCTTCCAGGGGAGGGAGGCAGGAAAGGGGGTGACGGTGTTGGAAATTCTTCTGAGAGCACAGATGAACTTGGATGACGCAGGACTGCTTCTGGCCCTGTGGGCAGGCTTTATACAAATGGGGTGAGATGCTAGGGGAGTTTCCTCTTACTCAGGCTGACAGAGGAGAGAAGATCCCTTGCTTTAATGCAAAATCTGCCCCTTTTCCCATACGCTCCTCATCTTATTCCAGAAATAGGGTGTTGAAGGGGAGAAGGCTCTGGGAGCTTTCCTAATCCTGAGTGTGCACTATGTACAAAAAAGAGAGCCCAGCAGCCCGTCAGCCTCAGAAAGCTTGGCCCAGAGGGAACCTGAGGACTAGGCAAGTCCAGTTTTCTCATTTTGTGGATGAGGAAACTGAGTCTCAGAGGCGGGATGGGAACTGAACCAGGCCTTTGACTCCAACTCAAGTGCTCCTGTTGGAAGGGGCCCAGACCTTCCAGAGACAACACTGATCCTGCCCTCTGGCATTCCTGAG